TGATTACCTAAGTTTGATGTGGTAGTTATCAAATAGTGTCAATCTAAAGGATTACACGATTAGGAATCACCTATGTAAGTGTGAAGTGGAAGCCGCTTCAATGAGAATTCTTTAAGGCCAATTCTCTACGCACTTATGAGACCAGGCGGTGTTCATGGCTGAAACGAACACAAAAATGAGAACTAAAAGATGGTTAAGGGTTGATTGTGTGACATATGGTTGTCTAGGTATACACTAAAGTTCGACGGTTCAAAGATATCAAATCTACCGATTGACCGAGTATATCCGACATATGTTCACTATGGAAAGTTCAAAGGGAAACCTACTTATCCAGATGCAATTAATCCTTACTTGCAAAATCACATAACTTTCGTCTATGATCTTTCTTGATACAGCCATTCCCATTCATGTGGGGGATTGTTGGACTTTAAGCCATTGGGCTTTAAAGTAGAAGAAGTGTGAATTGGAAATGGAGGGAAATTGAAAATTTGAAGAAGTGAACTTTTGTCTTGCACTTTGTCCCTCATTGGTGAGGGACAACCACATTTGTGTGTTTATATATAGAATCACTTCTTAAAGCTCTTAAAGGGAGTTGAAGAGAATGAACCCTTGCACCGCCGCCGTATCACTGCTGAAAATACGCCAGATTGCGTTGAAGATGACGTCGGGAAAAATAGTGACTCTAAACCAAGTCCTCCATGTTCCAGAAATTCGCAAGAATCTTGTGTCGACTTCACTTCTTGTCAAGAATGGATTCAAATGTATTTTTGTTTCCAATAGTGTTGTACTAAGTAAGAATGATATGTATGTAGGAAAAGTTTACCTGAATGAGGGCCTTTTTAAGCTAAATGTAATAGCAGTTCCTATCAATAAAGTGAATGCTTCTTCTTACTTGCTTGAGTCAAACACTTTATGGCATTCGCGTTTAGGTCACGTAAACTTTAAAACATTGCGAAAGATGATAAATCTAGAAGTATTGCTAAATTTTGATTGCATTAATTCCAAATGTCAGATATGTGTGGAATCAAAGTATGCTAAGCATCCTTATAAGTCCGTTGAAAGGAATTCAAGTCCTTAAGACTTAATTCACTACAGATATTAGCGACATGAAGTCAACACCATCTCGCGGTGGGAAAAAACGTATTTTAT